CCAGAGGGAGGGTTATTTTGAGAGGTTGCGGGTTGGTATTCGCCCTGATACTGGGGGTTGAGACTTGGGGAAGCACGGAGCATGGAGATTGGTTGGGGTGGTGGCATCTGATAGAGGAAACTTAGATTTGGTTGTGCCGAATCCGTAGCTCCTGTCAATGCCCAACCGATGGCTAATGCAAAATGGGTTAGCGAGCGAGAGTAAAATGATTGGGAAGAGATTAACATACCCTGGCTTGGATCCATTTTCGGTGACCCAACAGGTCCAACAGTCGCCTGGGATGAATGATGTGAAATTTCGACAAAAGCATCCGATGCCCCAGAGATCGGCTCTGGGGAATCCTGTCGTGTCCGCTTCCACCCCGGCGGAGCTGCTCCGGAGGTTGCCGTTGGCCGTGGTTCAGCGGCATTTTCCATATCTTCGTCCGTGTAAAGTTGCGGATCCCCAATTCCTTTTGCCTTTTGGTCAAGAACGGTTAAAATGTATCGAACACCTTCCCAGTATACTTCCAATGATTTGAGGGCTTTGTAGCAACGCTGATAGTTTTCTTTTGCTGCAGTCGCTAACAAGATGTGTTTCGCAATGGAGTTTCGCTCTGACGATGCAGATGGTTCAACAGGTGGCAGAGTAAATTTGCTAACCGGGGGACCGGCAGAGGATGTAGGGGGAGATTCAGTCCGAGATGATGGCTGGGAGTAAAAGGCGCTCTCCATTAGAAATGCACAAGCAGCAATATATATTGGTTGGCTAGTGAAAGGATTTCCAATAAAGCTTTTGGCATCAATAAGCTCAGCAAAAGCCAAAATGTCGGCGATCGTTTTTGCAGATGACATTGATAGCTCTCGGCTATTTGGAAAGAGCTGTTGAATACGCCCACCAAAAGAATGGAGCAACGTTGGCTGATGGAGAAGCACAATCAAGGTATGAAACCACTGCAGCTGTTAGCGAAGTCATTAATAATAAATGATAGATCTCTCATATCACTTACGAAATGAAGTAAAATGAAATTGGTCCCTTCACCAGCTTTCACATAGTCCTGGAAATTAGCAGCATTGAAATGAAGCTTTGGCGAAAGTCGTTGATAGATACCTAGTTCAATATTAGCTGCAGTCATGCAACTGAATAGTGGAAGGTAAGTTACCTGTTAGGTTGCTTTCCATGCTAGCTAAGCGCTTTAATATATCAGGAGTGACATGGTTGACTTCTTTTATCGCATTCAAAAGATCAGTTATCCTGCCATAAAGATGGATAATTCTCATAAGAGGTGGAAATGGGCCCGGCCAGCCATTAGAGAGTGCAGACTCCGATTGCAATGGGAAGAAAATTTCAATATCATCATCCCGTAGTGTGACTGGTCTGCCAGTTCCAGACGAGATAACACGGTCTAGGAAAAAAATGGCCCAAAAGGAATCCACTCGTTCGCGCTCTTTGGCTCGGTCAGCGGATGTTGCAAATTTACCATCGTCATCAGGGCTGATGAGTGGTTCAGCTTCGTTTTCCAGATGAGCGTCATTGTAACTATTTCCATGGCCAGAAGTAACACATTTTGGAGTCAAGCCTGTTCGTCCGTATCTGAATTTCATCCCCTCTAGTTTCTGCATTCCTAAATCCTGTGCCATTCTAATGGATATGCCTAAATACATCCATAGTCCACTATCATGATTCGATCCGAACTCGAGGTAGGCAAGTAAGAGGCACGCCTGCACTACAGTTAGAGTCGGGAAGGAGAGAGCTTCAACGACCGCACACATTGCACGATGTGCAAATGGTTGTCCTTGATGGGCATGATTTCGTTCACTGTTTGTGGATATCTTAGGTTCGATGCTCTGGGCCTGTAATGTCAGGAGCGGATGAAGCGAGAACCTTGCCGCCATTGCACATACGGCGTCGACTAGAATTGGTTCCACCCGTTTTTCTCTCAGGTCTCGGAGAAATCTATCGCGCTGTAGAAAGGGAAAATTACAGCCAAGGTGGGTGAAGAACACCTCGCACAGATGGGATATTAATCCACTAACTGGTAGGTTATCGTCAGGGTAATAAAACGGGATGCTATGGGAACGAGATTCCGTTGAACATAAAGATGTTGATGCTGCCCTATCCGAGATTTTCGGGCTTCGAATAGACGAGAGGGATTCTGGATAGGAAGCATTAGTGTATTCGGATGGGATATCAAGGCGGCTTGAGCTGATCTCACCATTGGATAGCGACGGATTGCTTTGTTTTGACTCCCTAACACGGACGACCTGTTTCCAGGATGGGAATCAGAGAAACCCTATATAATTTAAATATTGTAACCATACCATCTGTTTATAGCCAGGGACAATTGCAGTGGGTCCGAAGTAACGAAAGTAGGGTACATGGGTGCGACTGCTCTCAAGGAGCAAAGATCGATCTGCTCTGTCATATTAATACGAAGCTGTGACTAGCTAAGAAGAAGCACGCAAGGAACGGGCGATTAGCTTACTACTTTGAGGGCTTTCAACAACTGCAGACTGCCTACGTCCGTTTTGGGAAGGCTGCTGATCTCGTGGTGCAGAAACTGGGCTAGGATCTGACCGAGCCGCGGTTACAGGCGCATTCGGCTGCAACCCAGATTTCGATGTCTGCGGCGAAGCGCTTGTCGCATCATCTCGACGTGTGGGCGCGGTATCCGACTTCGTAGTTTTGCGGGTATTTAACGTGGCAGCGGGGTCTTTGTATCCCAAGCAGTTGTGGCCATAGTCTGAACAAGTTTTGCAAACTGCACTCACTCGGATTTAGTCACAGTACGAGAACGCATTTTATTAGGGCCCAGAGCATATTGGGATAAATCAATAATTACCTGGTCGTTCCCCAGAGCATCTAATCTTCCGTTTCCGACAAGTTTTGCAGCTATAGCGAACGAGGCGCAAGTGTTAGCTTTGAATGGATCAGGGACAAAAGGTAGCGGAAGCTTGTTGCAGAGCAACACTAAAAGAGGGGGATGACCAACGCAGCAGCGACCCTGCGCCTCTTTGTTTGAGGCTGCCCATCGGTAGAAACGAAGCGGATCTGTCGCGGTTGAGCAACCTGTTTGCCGTGAGAAGACAGGCTCATTGCAAGCGGACTGACAAGCGCATTTGGCGGACACGCGGCATCGGGCTCGTCGCTTTCACGAGAACAGGGATCGGGGTGGCCAATCGCGACCAAGGGAAGGCAAAGGCCTAAAGAGACACATCCCAGATGAGTATACCAAACGGGGCGGATGGTTAGTCACATCGCCGGGATATAGAATGATTGGAATAAATATATCCGGGCGATGAGGTTGTGGTGGTCGTGGCAAGTCACCGCGGCGAAACGACTGGGGTAAATCAGATAACTAAGCGGCCGCGGCTACTGAAGGGTCTTGGCATTCGGGAAGTGATTTGTATTGCCGGCACCCAATACCAAAAAGAATAAAATAGATACATAGATAGATAGATATTGCTCCCAGCAGGAACAGTATGTCTATGAAACTGAAAAATGTGGAAGACGATGGACTTAAGTCTATGGATATGCCTAGCAATAAATAAATATAATGTATGCTCCAAAATTTCAAAATCCAATCCGTCTATTGAAAACGAAATGAAAAAAGAAGAGAATGAAAGAAAAGGAAGGAAAGCAGCCAGCCATAGTCTATATACGCGGCGGATAACTGCTAGTAGCCGATGCTGGAGTTGCCTGGTCTACTGAAGGTCGTGGAATCTCCATTATAGTCGTCGCTCTCATGTATGATATCCCACCAAGGCGGGCAACAGGTCGTAAAATAGTAGGATCGAGAAGGCTCCGCTCGTCATTTATCGCATCCTCTCGCGCCCAAAATCTTGTACCCTCTAATATCACCATCACACCGCTCTTCTTCCCTGGGTTCGCCCGGCTCTCCCACTCCTTCGTCTCCACAAGTTTCGCCTCAATCGAGAATATCGACTCCTTGACTCGGGGAGCCTTGACAGTTGTGCACGGCGCGGTGTGCAGTCCTGACAGTTCGAATTCGGACACGCCATGTGGCACGTTAATAGAGCAGTGATTGACAGCTTCGAGGTGATGTTCGCTGACTGTGTTGACAACGCACTCGCCTGTTTCTAGGATGTTGCGGAGAGAATCCTTTGGTGGATTTGGTTCCCCTGTAATTCCCACGACGATAATAGGAGGATCAAAGTTGACCATCTGCGTAAAGCTGAAGGGGGCAAGGTTTACAGTCTGCCCGTCCTTCGATCTCGTGCTTAATAGACCAATTGGTCGAGGCACGACGGCCGAGATCATGAGTTTGTAATTGAGGTTGGGTGACCGGCCCATTTCGTAGGGGTCGATTTCAACATGGTTCTTCTCGAGACTGGCTTGGTTATCATTTCCTCCTTGTCCTTGTTTCCAATGGGGATTGGGGGATTTGGTGAAAGTGAGCGGGGCCGAATGGTCGAAATCGGGCCGTGATGCTTCGACTTTGGCGAATGGGGGACGGATGCTACCCATTCTTACTAGGGAACATGGGGTTTATTGCTATAAGAAGCAGGATGCGTCGCAACGCCTTAAATGCAATACAGACGTCGATTGTCAATGGGCTGTCTATATGGCTTGTAGTTGTCACTATTCTCGATTTTCGGCCATGGTCCCACCCACCATGCGCAAGGTGGGGGTTTGCAAGAGCCTTTTTGCCGGGTGTGGGTGTGTGGGGAGCCACCGAGTTCATCAGAGCGCATTGTTCCCATCTGATTCCAAGCTTCATTTCTGTAGTCTGAAACGCCAAAATCAGGCGGTTGGGCCTAATACTCTTCACGGACGAGTGAAAAGAGAGCCCCTTTCCTACGATTGTTAGCCCCGCAGTTCGGTGGGCAACCATCGGCTCGGATCCGAGGTCCAAGGGATCAAAAGACACGGATGATATGTCCACTCAACCCCAACTTAAACCCTATATTGTCAGGTCACGTGATCTGGCTTACTAATCCTTCCACCATATAACTTTCCACAAGCTAGCAACCTTTCAATCACACAAGCTTTACACCTTCCACATATATATGATGATGATTCAAATTGAAGAAGCCATCACCGCTAAAAATATAGTAGAATTTCGATGTTGTGCATAACTCATTGATGTCATAGTTTCCGTAGGGGTGTTCGACGACATATATATGCCCGAACATTTTCAGCCAAAACGTAGTTCCATTGAGATTATCCCGAGGAAAGAAAATATACTATGTAAGCGAAAGCAAGATAAATTAAATATGATCATGCTTTCAACGGCGCAACGCAGAAACAACCCCCACGTACTCAAAAAGGGCCCACAGAGTCCAGTATCTTGTTGTTACACTGTATGCTTTACCGCCGCTCGCACAATCGTCACACCAGACAAGCAATCTTTCAGCATCATCTCTTGTAGAATCCGCCCAAACAGCGTGAGTATTAGGAGTCCAGGCACATACAAGAGACGGGGAGAGTGAAACCACTGCTCAAAAAATTTCGCGACGGAGGGATCATTCACCACCGTAGCGGCCCATTGAGTAAGTATTGTCCTTTTCAATTCGACACAATCCCTTTTAAATTCGTCATGTTTCCCCTTGATAGCTGCATCAACGACATCTTTTCTAATCATACCAACCCACCCCTGAAACGTACATGTAAGTAAGACCCTTATATCTATTATATCAGTCGTGGCAAAGCACTTACCGCATTCGGATTTATGCTTTCAGCTCCACCACTTCCTCCGAATTGTTGTCCCGCAATCGGTCGCCCACCGCTTGCTGTCCACTTGCGGAATTCCTTTTGTGATGCCTTGAGCTCTGCCTTCAAGGATTCGATATCCTTGGCGTGGGACTGATTGCTTTGCTCAAGGAGCTGATTCGTCTTTTCCAACCGGGCAACTTTATCTTTAAATTGCATATCAGGAGGGTCCTGGCAATTCCAGGTGTCATCAGCTTCCCATAAACATTCAGAGTTCTGTACAGAATTCAAAGTGATTTACCTTGAATGATTCGGCCGCTGGGGGAGTCCGTTTAACCTCGGACGCGGGGATCGTCTCCAGAAGCTCCCTCATGTGGGCGGTTGCTGTGACTGCAGCGTACGGTTGCCACTCCTTGTTCTTGTGGGAATCTGCATAATCACATACACCTCGGATGACTAGGCAGGGGAACTCATCCATCAGGCCTGCGGCCTCCATCTCCACGCAGATGACTCCGAGTTCATCGTATAGCTTATTTCAAGTGATGATGTCCTTGATAACCATATTGGAAGATCCGATGGTACCATAGTGGACTTCAGGGGAGTCTTCATATCGTTCCTCGCGGTTAACAAGCCTACTTGGATCGCAAGCCCGGCATGTGCTCATTTTCTCGGGGTGGAAATATGTTGCTTCGAATAGCAAATCCTTGGAGCTTTTTAGGTCATTTTGAGGAATTTGTTCACTTCCTTGTCTATAGTGTCTTGCCCGCAGCTTTTCCACAGTTCCTAAAAGCAAATTCGGAGGCTTGGACAACGCTCCTGTCCTCTCAAACCTTCCATCCTTGTAGATCTTGCCTCGATCAAACTGGACCACTCCACCAAACGTATCCGTAGGCTTGCCTACCACCACATCTCCAAGCCGAATATCATGTTCTCCATCAACAGGGATGCCGCCACCAATTCCCACTAGCAATCCAAATCTAATTGACTTGAAGTCATTTAGGGTCTATGTCACCACTATTACCGCAGGACTAGTCCCCATTCCAGACAACACAGCAATAACTACATTATACTATCCTATTTACCCAAACGTATAGATACTCTCGTCCCGGCCCATGGCAATGGTCGGGTGGGTATCATCTAGCATGCCTTCAACCGCGGCCATTTCGATGCCCATCGGGCAGATGATCGCAACGGTGTATGAATCCGGCGTATATTTCGGCTTTATCAGCTTTCCAATGTTCTCTGCGGTGAGGGTAGATCAAGAACGAATAAGAATGTGCCTAGACTATTTCACTCATCGGATTTTCAGGTTGGAGGATAATTATCTGACGTGTTTGGTAACTGTAGGCAGAGAAAATGAGGTTTCAAGTGAGAATTGATGCTAGAGGATGATTATATACAGCCATCCTGCGCTGAAATGATCAATCTGAGAATTGACAACCACGCCTATGCCAGACTGACACATCCCACAAACGTATGATCGGTATCTAAGTAATAAGGCGAGCTGATATTGACAACTCTCACGTTATGTATGCAGATGTGCCCAATTCTGATCCCGGCAAGCCGAGATAATTCATGGCTCTATGCCTTTCTTGCGAGATTTTATTCGGATTGAAAATATCCGTATTTGTCCATAGAACTCAATTCGAGATTAACGAAGGGCTTGATTTGGCAATACTGGGGTCGAATATCCCGCTAACAAATCGGGTCATAGTGGGAGCGGGACTGATTTCTCGTGTTTGCAAATTTATGCACCCTCTTTGAATTAACTATACCCCAATGTATGGTTGAGGTCTAGTGATTGGCTCATGATTGTAGCTTGTATGGCATGGGCAAAAGGTAGCAACTTCACATATTCGACACACGATGGACAGTACCTGCGGGGGTACAAATAGTAAGGTTTTCTCCCTGAGATAGTTCGCTGATCTAAATATGGAGCCATATTGCTCTCAAGACAATAGACATTCCACTGTAGATACATATATATAATGGTACGCGCATGTCGAATATAATTTTAGAAGAGACATTGTGCCTGAGTATTTTGCCGCGCGCCTAGCCATAATAACTCAGCTCAGCCGAACCTTGGCGCGGATCCGTTCTGGGTGAAAGAACGCGCCAGAAGCGATGCCGAACTTCAACCAGCTTCACTCTCCAACCTCCAGCCATCCGCTTTCTCTTTTCGTTACATCTTTCTATTTATTTCAACAGTGTCTGCTCTGGTGTTTGGGATTTGTTTTCTTTGTTTGGCTGCCTTCTGTTCTTTATTCTCGTTGTCTGGATTTCCCTTATCTCTTCCATCCAACCTATGATCACCTCCTTCATCTCGCAGTAATACTCCTTTATTGCTCGAGTGAACCTAACATCCTCTAGCGAATCATCATACTAGGGACCGCGCGGTCTCACAGCTATGGCTGCGGCGCCGGTCAGACAGTGGGGAGTAACTCCTCCGGTATCGAACGCCTTGCCCACGCCAGCAGAGATCGCTGCGAACGAGGATTTAACCGCTGAGCTAAAGCGACAAAATAACTTCGAAGCGCCGGCAGAGACTGAGCGGAGGTATGTATCTAAACGATGGCTATTGTCTTCTTTTTGTCTTCTTCTTCTTCTTCCTCTTCTTGATGAACTAGAGTTAACTCGATTTCCTCTTTAGAAAACAGACATTACAACTAATCCAGCGGGTGACAGTCGAATTCGTGAAGGTGGTTAGTCGGCGCAAGGGTTTATCGCAGGCAGCTATCGATGTTGCGGGAGGGAAGATATTTACATATGGCAGTTATCGGCTAGGCGTATATGGTCCAGGTTCGTTATCATTTCATTTGTAGCCCCATCTGACCTGCTGAGATGGTATACACTAATGTTTCGGTGGTCATGCGGTAGGTTCTGATATTGACACCCTGGTTGTTGGCCCAAAACATGTGTCTTTCGAGGACTTCTTTTCCGATTTTCCTCCCGTTTTAGAAAATATGGCACCTTTGGGTGCCATTGAAAAATTAACTCCTGTTCCAGATGCTTTCGTTCCGATCATTAAGATTGAATTGTCCGGCATCAGCATCGATCTTATATATGCCCGTCTCCTCGTCCATTCCGTGCCCCTGAATCTAGACCTGAAAAATAAGGATCTGCTACGTGGGTTAGATGAGAAAGAGATAAGATGTGTCAACGGGACACGGGTGACAGATGAGATCCTAGAACTTGTCCCCCAACAGAAGACATTTCGGCTTGCGCTACGCGCCATTAAGCTTTGGGCACAGCGTATGTAGCATTCACCTTTATTCCTACTGTAAGATACTTATACTGTGCTTTTTTTTTAGGACGAGCGATTTATTCGAACATCGTAGGATTCCCCGGAGGCGTTGCATGGGCTATGCTTGTGGCCAGAGTCTGCCAGCTTTATCCCCAAGCTACCGGATCAGCGATCGTGGGAAAATTTTTCCGCATAATGAATCAATGGAAATGGCCACAGCCAGTGTTACTAAAGCCTATAGAAGAAGGCCCGCTCCAGATGAAAGTTTGGAACCCGCAGGTGAGCCTGATTTCCACTGCTCTAACCATTGACAAGGTTCGCTTAGACATGCGTGTTTAGATTTACCACGGCGATAAATATCACTTGATGCCCATAATTACACCTGCATATCCATCTATGTGCGCGACTCACAATGTTTCACTATCGACGAAAGCTGTCCTGCTTCGTGAGCTAAAACGCGGTGGGGATATTGCCGACAGAATATTCGTTGGGCAATTGACTTGGAACGACCTTTTCACTCGCCACACATTCTTCTCGCAGGACTATAAGTATTACCTCAGTATCACTTCAGCAAGTCGAAGCAAAGATGCACAATCTGTGTGGTCTGGCCTTGTGGAATCTAAGCTACGACATCTGGTCGGAGCACTTGATAGGAAATCTTCGATTGAAATTGCACATCCGTTCCCGAAGGGATTCGAACGGATTCATATATGTAAGGACCAGAAGGAGATCGCAGAGGTGATGGGCGGATCAACGAAGTACCAGGCGAAAGGCACGAAGACCGAAACTACCGACGAGACGAACGATCCACAACACACTGCGGCTTCTCAAAATGGTGGCGGGGCTATTCCCATGCGGGAAACAGATCAGCCGAATGGAGATAATGGCTGTACACTCTACACGACAACTTATTACATTGGACTTGAAGTCAAGCCTTTAGTTCCAGGTAGGCATTCCCACAACTTACCATGATACAACTGACTCTCGAAGGTGCTGCAAGATCGCTAGACATCTCGGCCGACACGCACATATTCAAAAGTACCTGCACTTCATGGCCACAGTACCAGCCTGGCATAAATGATATTAATATTACGCACGTCCGCAAGTGCGTTACCTGCTCCTTTCCTAAAGCATTTGTTGGACCATTACTGATACCAGTCCTAGCTACGACCTTCCTGATGATGTCTTCCAGCCTGGAGAGGTGCGACCATCTCGACCGAAGAAGAAGGTCGTGAAAAAGTCCGAAGCGACCGCACAAAAGAGAAGCATTCACGAGTTGGACGTAAGTTAGCCGCCTTGGAAACAAACTACTAACCCTACCAGCAGCAAAATATTTCGCTATATATTGATATGTGGTCTTTCGATCTCGACGGGATCGGAATGAGTTTCGCCGCTAACACTAACTCTATACAGAATGAAGAGCCAACCGAATACCCTGCGAAACGCCGTGCATCGAATGGCATACCATCTGCCGCAGCTCCTGCATAATAATTCCCAGTTGTCACAAGGGTATTGGATGAGAAGATTTTCAAACCTGGTTTTGATTTTTTTTTTCCCGCCCTTATCATTCTTAAGCTGACAGTCGCGAGGTAGACCCAACTTGGCCCTTATAATCCAAGGCCCAGGACTGGTAAATCTTGCGACAGCCAAAGACCCAATACGTAGTCTACTACTAACCGCGCCAGCCGTTTTGTCGCCATAGATTGAGTGTGTCAGTCGACCCTCGTATCGGGAAGTAGGAGAAGAGATCATCAGATACGACCCATCCTTTTCTTTGCAAATTCCTTTACTTTATTCTTCACCACTTTCTCTTACGTGGCTTTCCTACAGTTCTTTTTCAGTTTGTCCTCATCCCGAACCAGATCTCCTTCAGCTACTGTGGTTCTTGGAGAATGCACCAAGGGTTCATTGTTTTGAGCTGCTTTTTGTCTTTTTTATTGTTTAACCTTTCCGTTGGGACCACCAGGTCCATATCAGGAACCCACTTTTATTTTTTTATCCCCGCAATACTGTTGTTGTAATAGCTTCTTCCAGTTGTATGTACGTACCTAGGGGTGACATTTCTTTGTCCCACTTTCCCTTCCAGATAGTCACTAGGCATTTCTAGATTTAGGCAGATAATCAAAGAACTTCGTCGGAGCCTACGGGCTCCACCGAAAACAATCATGAAAGTTGTTCCGTGGTTAATTTTGAGTAAATTAATTTTTTAAGTTGATCATGCATTTGTGCGTCATAGCTCCTCTTGTCTTTCCTCAGCAGCATCACGGTTGCAAAAACACTCACTTTGTACCGGTTAACACGTAGCCCCAAAGTACTTGCATATCACCATTCACAACTAGTCCATATTATGGCATCAGCTCTACCCATAATTGACCTCCGTGCCTTTAGCACAGTGGAGGAGCTTGCGCCAGAGCTCATGAGGGTCGGGAAACACGCCGGTTTTTTCTACCTTACTGGCCACGAGTTAACAGACAATGTTGCGAAACAAAATATTTGATCTAGCAGATGACTTCTTCAAGAATACTAGCAAAGAGGAGAAGATGAGGTTTGCGGGCGGTGGAGGCTTGGTATATTGGCTCGTTCTTGAGTTAACCCCTCGTTCATCATAGCTTACTTGCGATTTAGGGACACGGGTTTCCGGGATGAGAAGTAAGTAAAGACGATATCATATCCGGTTCCTGGATTTTGCTCCTCTTAAAACCCGCTGTCTAGATACAGTCGCCGAACATGTCATGGTTTTATTTTCGAGTAGCCTAGCTGGTAAAGGTCATGGATATTTAAGAGTCGTATTGTCTTACGAATCCCGATGCTGGGTTGAGACAGTCGCTATCCACAATTCTGAATGAGGGAAAGACAAGAATCGCGTACGGAGTAGTTTTGTGGGAAATGGGAATCGCTTACTGACCGTTTAAATACTTCAGACATTCGACCAATATAAGTTTGGAGATATTTGCCTGACAGTACGTTGAACAACTGGTTATTTATTTAGCTCTCTCGAGATTATATATCGAAACACCACGAAGGTGGTGAAAGCCGGCTGCGCTCGATACATTATTAATAACCTGCAATCCAGAAGAGCACCCAGGGGACTTCAGAAGGGGTCGAAGACGATATAAGAAGAGCAGGCGCCCATACTGATTATGGCTGAATCACACTCCTTTTCCGTCAACCTAGTGATCAAGGGGGTCTACAGGCCTTGATAAACAATGAATGGATCGATATCCCATGCATCAAAGATGCAATTGTAGTAAACATCGCTGATGCATGCACTCGAATTCTAGGCTTGCGGCCGCTTGTGCTCCACAATCCGCCGTGTGGCGTTTCCTCGGAACGAGAGTGAGAACACAGACCGGCTCAGCATGCTATTCTTTGTGCAGCCGGATAGAGATGTCCTTATGGAGCCAATATTGCCAGGGGAAGCTGACCAGGAGGAGTTTAAGGACGTGCTAAGGCGTAGGGGTTATCCGAGTGCGAGGCCTCTGACGGCTGAGGAGCATTTGACACAAAGGCTACGAGCAACTTATGGTTATTAAATGTTTGACTATGCACGCAACACAAAGCGAATATATGTCAATCTCATTTATGTCCTTCCTGCTTTTGAGCCTATTGTTATGCATTGCTGCAGAAATTACTTTTCTTCTCATACTTGCTACATGTTCATTTTTGTACCTGTCAGGTGTGTGAAAGACAGGGAGGAGGACTAAGCTACTTACTGGCGGCGGATCAAGCTGAGGTTTTTATTAACTAACCCCCTGACCTGCTATAAGAGATAGAGAGGCAGAAAGATTATCTTACGGCGAGGAAAGGTATCGTAAACACCTATGCTGTAGCTCCCAAAACTTACATCTGCCTATTGAGTAAATGGTTATCAAGGTATATTGCGTATATAGAAGTGAGAGGATTCCTCGGGCCACACCCGCTCTAAAACGGAGGGTAGTATATTCAATGTTCCAGTCCAGCCCTCAGTCGAAGATACCTCAAAGGAAAGTTTTACAACTTCGATCCCTGCCCACTGCCTCTAGCGTGCTCATTCTGTATAGCGCTATCAATAATGCACATAGCCTCAAACAGGTCATTATCATGCAGCCTAGGGGTAATGACCTGGATGCTCAGGGGTGAATCGAGGTAGACACGTCGGTCAACGGTATTGGAGTTCCCTGTTTTGCAAATCTCGTTAATAACTTAATCATAAATGGGCTTTACTAATGCTGCAACGGAAGCACAGCCAATAACCAGAAAAGAAGAAAGGATAGGATAGTAAAAAGTCAGAAACATACACAGCTCCCTATTCCTCTTGTCCCAATTCGATAGCACCTTCCCATCCATCTCCTTCCCAAGCTCGAGATCCGCTTCTGTGAACTTCCGCACCGGCACGGCTCCGGCGGCATAATCAAGCAGAACCCAGCTGGATGTGTATCCGACGGCGTTGTAGCGGTCATGCTCGGGAATGGGGTGTGGGGCAATGGGGTGGATAATCGCATCCACTTTCCTCATTCTAGATTGCAAGCCCGAATCGGACGACGATGACAGAGTCCACATCTTCATCATCTCCTTCTCTATCTCGGACCTACGGCCCTGACTCGCGTACGCCTGTGCAAGCGTTCTAGGAGTCCCGCGCTTAAATCTCGTCTGCAGCCATGGGATGAGAGGCTCCGAGGTAGATTCTAGGATATCAGCCATACCGCCCGCCCCATCCAGGCCCATCAGCTCGTTTGCCACGCGCTGGCAGTCGCCCAGTACGGCGGGAATGGGGATCTCGACGACTTCGACGCCAGGGACTTTGCGGAGGGCTTGTGCTACTTCGTTCAGGACTTTGGCAATGGGTGGCAGCGGCCGGATGCGTCCATCGGACGGAAGGATGCCAATGGTGAATTTACGCGGTTGCGTTAATGAGCGTTGCGTCTCACTGACGCCCCATTGGCCGGGGATACAATCTTCACCGTACAGCTCTGCTCTCGGCACAATTTCTCTCATCAGAGCGTCTATATCTGCCATCGATCGTGCAATCGGACCAGCAACAGGCTGCAGGCCAACTCGCGTCTTGCCAGGCACACTCCCGCTCAACTGGCCGCCAAACGGGACCCGGCCCATACTTGGCTTGAAGCCATAAATCCCAAGGCACATGGCTGGGATGCGGATGCTGCCGCCGATATCAGTGCCGAGGCCTATCATTGAACCTCTCATGGCAACTAATACACCCTCGCCGCCAGAGCTGCCTCCTGGTGTCAGTTTGCGGTTCAGAGGGTTCAGAGTGCGGCCGAAGAGATTGTTAACGCTGTCAAGGGCGCCGAGAGTCTGGGGGATGTTGGTCTTTGCAATGATTATGGCGCCTAGGTCGAGCAGCAGGTCCACCAGTGGTGCATTTTCAGTCGCAGGTTTGAATGCAAGAGCCGCTAAACCAGTGGTTGAGTCGATGCCTTTGATGTCGTAGGTGTCTTTGACGGAGATTGGGAGACCGTGGAGAGGGCCCATGGTTTTACCCGTGCGTTTGAAATGGGCATCTAGTTCTGAGGCGCGAGCCAGGGCTTGTTCAAATAGGGGCTCTGTCAGGCAGCGGGTGAGTTGGTGGGAGATTGCGGCGCGCTGGAGATGGTTAGCTATATATTATTTCAAAAGGCCATATCTGTAAACTTCTATGAAGAGTATGAATTGGAAGGAATAGTGTTGTAACCAACCAAGGCGAGATGTAAGTAGAGAGGGTAGGTATATATATGGTCATCGAAACCTCCATCCAGGCAGAATATGTAAATGAAAACGAATAAACAAAAAGGAAAAAAAGGAAACCAACCTTGCAAAACGCCTCTGTAACCTCTCTAGCAGATAGCTTGCCCGTGGCAATCTGCTGCAACAACCCCTCAATGTCCCATCTCTCCGTAATTTCCAGCTCCTTCGGGTTCAACACACCACATTTGCGTGGCACATCCATCACGTTAACCGCATCATACTTGTTCGTGACTATGACAGACTCTTCGGCGGACAGCATTCCAGCAGGGATCCATTGACTGGAGAGACGCCATTCTCTAGGAATACGAGATTCGAGCTGCGCAAGCTTCTTGCGGGCAATGGCCTTGTAGGCAGGTTCAGCGGACATGGTTGGTGGGATAGTGGATTTGTTTGCTCTACTTTATCTCTTCCGGTTTCTGTTGTGTTTATTGAAGTAGTTAGGGGGTTTGTGAATATGGCATTATCATCTGTGTTTCCAAGTGATAAGTTGGAATACACGGTTTGTTTTAAAAGATGCGGAGATAGCTGAAAATTAAAGAGGGGAATTCATGGGTTTCCAAGGCTATATTGCCGGCACCACTGCGGAGTCGGTTGGATAACTCCTGCAAATGGCCGAACCCGAGCAGAAGAGCTGGCCAGGGAGCCGCGCCAGCTCGATATATCTACACATATTTTACGGCCCAGGTCGGTCTTTGAGTCTTAGAAACTTACATATAATGTTGCTTCTACGCTTCCTTTATTTTGTCAAGGCATAATGCTTCTGTTTGATGTCACTTGGAGATGTTCCAGCTAAGCTTTAGCCTCGGCGAAGAAGCTTGGGCCTTCCCTAGTAGGAGGTTAGCCGACCCGGCTATCGGACATAGAGTGGATGATATGCGGCTTCTTCCATTCTATATAAAATATGATCTTCAGAAAGAATATGGGAAGATCTCAAACAAGACGCTTAAACAAATAAGTATTATAAAAGCATGGCAGGACTAGAAATTGATGGGAACGAACTACAAGTACGGTACAATCGAATTAATATCTGGACACGTCTCTCCCAAACGCCCAATTCGAGAACCACGAGAATAGTATTTTCAATCGGTTTCTCCAACTCATACTCATGGACAGGTATGCTCCTTTCCAAATCAACCAGGCGGGGTAACCTTTTATACCGCGGAAAACCCCATCGCTGTCCTGCCCATTACCGCCTTCATGAGGCAGCTGCATCAAAGCCTTAGAACTGCCGATGTATGCAAGGACTCCGAGATTCTTGAATGAGAAACCCGGCGACTGGTCTATATTACCCCGGTTGAGCGCTTTGGCCAGCCAGATGGCTTCTTGGCTAGTCGCTTGAGCAGTTGCTGGGGGAGAGCCGGACTCTAACATACAGTTATCTCCAACAGCGAAGACATCTTGTAAGACTGCGATTTGGCCTTCTGCCGACTCCAATTGTACTCGTAGATGGTCGTCTACGAGAATTGCGCCAACTTTAGGGGCCTTCTTCACTTTCCAGGTTGTATTGCCGGGTTGGGTGACGCGGCTCCCTGTTTCCTTTGCCACTGCAGACGATACTGGAAATTGATCGATTGTGTTGAGCGCTCTGTTGACGAACGGCCCAATTTCGTTCCCTGTCGCCCACACACACATACCCACCCCTTCCTCGCCGTTTTCTTTCATCTTGAGCGTCAAGCAGCTTTTGGGGTCCATCTCGTAGGGGCCTTCGGCGTTGGGTTCGCCCCAGCGCAATTCTTCGATATGGTGGTTTGTCTTTATCGTCACACCCTCTCTTTTCAGCGTCTCCATAGCATAGCGAGATAGAGATTTATCGAACATGCTGAGGACAGTAGGAGCTACGTCATATAAAGTTATCCGGACATCGCCCTTCAGCTGCGGGTAGACTTTGAACATATCTCTGTGAATAAAATCGCGCAGGCTTGCAGAAAGCTCTGTTCCGGTAGGGCCTGCGCCGACAATAGCAAAATGCAGAAGATACCGTCTCATTTGAGGAGTGACTCTCGGCATCGCTGCTAGCTCGAAACATTCGCGGATGCGCCGTTTGACCTTCCTCGCGTCGCCGACATCTCTGAAAAACAGCGCATTATCTCTTACACCCGGTGTATTGAAGGTTCGAGCGGCGCAACCAACCGCGATAATCAGCTTATCATATGGAACTTCGAAGAGTTGGCCTTGCTCCCACGCCCTCCGCTGCTTTTCAGGCTGGTTTTGTTCTACACGAGCTGATTCCGTTACACCGCTCCGAACAACAGAAGCTTCGCATGTTATAACTTTGCGATGGAAATCTACGCTTCGAGCAGCCGCTTGGATGAAATTGATAGTGTTTTTTCGATCACGGACGGGTTCGACAATCTCGGAGAAATTTAGGGATCCAACCGCGGCATCGGTGAGGAGGGGCGTAAAGACGAAGTACGAACGGGGGGAAATGATGGTGCGGTTGAACTTCGGAGATAGCTTCCGGGAAACTGTCCATCCTCCCCATCCTGAGCCTAGAATGACAACACGCTCTTCGTTTCCTCGCGGCACAGGGTCAGTGGTATACCTGCGAACTCGTGCCCTGCTCTCAGCGTACAGCGGTCGATGGGGTGTGGTAGAAGCTCTCAGGAAGCCTGAACTTGCCACCCACTGGGGATATTTTAGCAACTGGGCATCACTAATCACCCGCATCCGACACAGGTTCGGAGAAAGCCGCTCCATTGTGACACGAAGGAGGGCGGAAGTGGTCAAGAAAATGGTGCGAGTTAGGTGGGAAATCTCTCTTTTCTCATCCTACCAAGTCTCGGGGTCCTTTATTATGAGCAGAAATATTGTCTTTTATATGCAAAATGGTGCATTCCAACTTCATTTCAGTCCCCGGCATACACATGCTGTTGTTTCATGCTGGATGAAGCCCGCCATGACCTCATTATTACTCACACTGGCCCTCGCGAGCTTCAACTGAGATACCTGCGGGGAAAGACGGACGGAGCGTTGCGGCAAAGTGCGTAATCTATAAGATGGGTCAAAACTTCAAGACATAATCACAGCTGTGGAACGAGTTTCATTTCTGCTCCGCAGTGAGCATTATCGCGATAACTCTCCTCGTGCATTGGAATCGGCGACGGTTGGGTTGGGAATCTGCAGCCACAAATCCAAATCACATGCTGATAAGATAAGATTAACTTAGATCATCATCACGTGTTTTGTAACTAACTGTGGGCTACTGGGGCAAAAGAGCTCAATCACCACCAGCGCCTGCTGGTAGAAGGGCCGATCAACCGCGGGACCCCCAACACTAACTTACCAGCACGTTCCAGAAAGATCTCCCGAATTACCAATCTTGGAACAGCGCTGAAGATGCTCGTCGACGGTCGAATGATCTGGATGGGTGTATGTACGACAACATTTTAATTGTGCAGCCTGGGGCAATTGTCCACTCACATCCGAACAGCAGCATCAGATGTTGATGTCCCCTGCGGGGGCCGGCGTAATCTTGCTGCCTTACAGCATGAAATTGCCCCCGATTCGTCCCCTGGCCAGTCCAGTGGAATGGCGGGGTTTTGACGGAAGTTAAAATGACCCAAAACCTGGAGGTGGTACCGTGAGTTTGGTTGTCGTTGGTGAGGCAAAATGTTTTCTAGTTCATTCTCGATACTTCGAGCTCTGCTTGATAATGTGATATTGTAAGACGTGCGTCCACGTAACTGTGGGATGCCTTGAAATATCGTCTATATAACATGCTTCTTCACGCATCTCCTTCCTGATTCTTTCCTTTTTCATAACCACTCCTCTTTGCCCTTATTCATCCGATCTCTGGTTCTCGACTCTACATTTACATTAAAAATAAATAAACAAAAGACAATTTCTTGATACCCTACATCTACTCTCTATATCTTCACGGAAGCAAGTTCTAGCCAACAAAAATGGCAAACGTCTACTATCTCAACCAACAGCCCCACCCACTATGGAACATCCTTACGGATTTTGGGGAGCACGGACTTCACATGTTTTTTCAACAGACACCACATGCCCATGCTGAGCATGTAAATCGGCACCCTCACCACCGTCAACGGGCCCAAAACACCAGCCAACCTACCACACAGGATTCGAATAACCGCCCCTTACCCCGCGCCCGTGGGCTTGACGAAAATACCCCTAGAGAATCTGAGCAGGAGAACACCCGAGATATTCCGTTCCGCGGCCGAGGATGTCGTCGTGGACGTGGCGGACCCTGGGGACATCCTGCGCAGGATGCCTGGGGACCTCATCGCCGGCAGCGCCATTGCAGACCAGGCGCTGGCTACCAATCAACAGGAGCACCCCATGAACTCCTCCAACAGTTCATCAACAACTTCTCAAACCAATTTGGCGTTGACGTCGGCGAGGTGTTCAACATAATCAACGGCACAGATCCAAGATCCGGAGACAAAGAAGTAGACTTCGTCCCCCGCGCCGACGTTTTTGATGCAGAAACTAGATACATCATCCATGTTTCCCTCCCCGGCGCACAGAAGAAGGACATTTCAGTCGATTATGACGCCGAGACTTCCACCCTCCGACTCGCAGGTGTGGTTTACCGTCCCGAGCTGGATGAGGAACTCAGCAACGCCCTTATCGTCGACGGGCGATCCCGCGAAGTTGGCGTCTTTGAGCGGGAGATCAGTCTAGGATCCCGCGATAAGCCTGCACGTGTCGACGCTGACAATATCAGTGCCAAGTTGGTTGATGGCGTCCTCGTGCTAACTCTACCAAAAGTAGTCGCCGACAAGGACGCGTTTAGACGGAGAATCTCGGTGGACCAGATCAGGAATGAGAATGGTCGGGAGCCAGAGGGGGAGGAGGCGGGGAGTGCAGATCCCAATAATGAGAAGGAGGAAGTTGCAGCTGAATCCCAGGCTATGCAGATTGATTCCGAGACTGAGGCATCGGAGCAGGAGAGTGAGAGGTCTGGTAGACGAACGCCACCAAGTCCTAGTGTGCGTTCAGAGGAGGAGGAAGAGAGGGACTATGTTGCCGTGGACGTCGATTAGGGAATAACCGTGTCTTTGATATCTCTTTTTGGCATCTTCATTTTGATATTTGATGCTTCGTTTTCGTACTCGTTTCTTTATCTCTACTTGATATGACTTTCTGCACCTTTTTCTTTTTCATTTTTAGTTTTTTGCATGTGAAACAATGGATAGGAATGGGAAATGGGATATGGTACTGGGCGCAGCTTTTTATCAATAGCTTCCGGTAATTAGTAATAGGATCATACTTGAAGAAAACCAAGGAACTCTATGCTTTCTTGATTAACATTGCTCGTTTTGGACCTGAGGCACTCTTCCCAGTTCCTTCAAAATAACATATTCCATCCCTCTCCGAACCGCCTAGAGTATGGCACTTCAAACGACTAAACTCAATGCTTTACCTCATACAAATGATCGTAGGTTCGGGCAATAATAGCGATACTGTCATCTAATCCGAGCACGCTTTCCCAGGCAACATGCGAGCATCGAAAACCCTCAAGATTTCCTGAACAGTCAATCGACCGGCCTCATGGAGCCTTTGCTATCTCCTTATTGAGCGGAAACTGTCACAAATTAAACCAAATCCTTTGTCCGCGAAACCGAGGCAGACGGAAGGCAAGCCCTCATCAGGTACCTTCCAAGTAACTAATAGCTATAATATTACATATATTAAACATCAATATGACACACTGTATACTTTTCTTTGCCCTTCTACAGGCCAAACTCCCAGGGTAAACTCAAGCTATTTGCGAATTACCTACTGGCCAAACAAGAGACCGTAACTTCAAATTGTCATTGACTTTCATATACTCAAAACCCCCTTTATTCCAGTTCTCACGCACGGTAATATAACTAGTGATGCAAGTAAGTACATGTACACGGCAGTCAGCGTGAGAGGCATCCCGCTGATCACATTTCATATCAGATTGGATAATATGCATGGAGAGTGGGAGACGGCCGGGGCAGTTAGTGTTTGGGACCCCTTAAGCTACATAACTATTTGGTAAGGGGTCTGAAAAAGCATTCGATCCCAAATGCTGCGTCTGTTACACCTTGGATTTCTTTGTTCTACGCCGCTGAGAGCATGGCTGTTTTCAAAATACACTCCGTTATCCTTCCCCGCGAAATTCGACGGTTTAGTCATTATTATTAGATACAAAGACGCATTAACTTAAATCACCTTCTGAGGTAGGAGGAGCGCGAGGTCCCTAGAGCGGATCCCGAAACAGCGCCCTTTGTGAGTAAAAGTGCGCATCGGATTCCTCGTGCAGAATCATCGCGTGGCTATTATGTCTGTCATCCCAAAAGACGTTGCACCATAGTTTTGGAAATCCATGTCTGAATTTCCGACAAGAGGTCCTGGGTGAGATTATCACATCATGTCAGAGCATGGAGGATGGGTGAGGTACAGAGGACTGAATGCACGGTCAAATTCTTAGCCAAGTCTCCCAGGCGAAGATTCCTTGGAACGCCCGCCAGAGTCAACACGTCAAGGGTTGGTTTGGGCGGTCTTTGGGTTAACTAGTGCTGACTCTGTTTCGAAGGTTGAGAAGCCAACCGCCCGTGTAAGGTGTAAGGTGTAAAGGGAGTTGAACCAACATTTTCCTTTTGAATGCGCTGGACTTGAGTACGGGCATTAGGTCTTGGGATATTGTAGAGCCACACAGAGAGAGCTTAGGCACCGGCACTCCTCTCGCGAGGAACAAATTTCACAACTAGTATTGACTTTACTCCGTACATGTAGGTAATACTACGAGTTTAGGTGCTCCTAATAATGCACGTCTTTGTAGTCTTGCTGACCACTGTCTGTAAACACTTTAAAGAATAAATTAATACCTTTTCAGAAGCCAGGGAAACATCGATCTTGAGGGGGAAAGGACATTTGTGCCTGTTCAGACTTTCCTCGAAGAATTTAACACTAGTAAATTATAATAATTATTGGGTAAGTGGGGTAATTTCCAACCGTTCCTATTTTCCAGCTGAAGCCTTGGTCATTTTTGTTCTGTTTCGGGCAAGCTTCCCCTGTCCCCGTTTCCAGGCGCTGAATGGCGGCCCGTTATCCCAAATTTAATGCTCACTCTGCACCCGGAATTTCCAGCGCTCGATGCTCTGGCCGCCTAAAGGAAGATCCATATAATCTTGGAAGTCTTCCTGATAGATGTGGAGAGGGGGAGTTAACCAGGCTCTCATTGTTAAAAATAAATGCCGAGAAGCCCACATTATGTACTCTGTATTTGGCAGAGCAAAGTCTTCGGCAGGTGAGGGCGGCCGAGGAAAGAAACTCGGCAGTCACTTAGTTACATATCTTGTTTATGGGGCTAACAGGCAGCTGGGCTAGGCTAATCATAATCAGCCTCCTGGTGGCGCGTGCTAACTCCCGGAACCGTCTGGACCGTCGATCCCCATTCGCATTATTGAATGTGCAGAGCAGGGATAACAACCTTGTTCCAGGTCATCACGTCACATTATGCTCCCTGTTCTGTCAATGCTTGCATGGCTTGATGCCCAGAAGTCCTGTGTGACATTGCCCACATGGTGGTGTATGGGAGGGGATGATTTGATCATGAGAGAAATCTTTTGGAGGGGAGGGAACAAATAGATCTTGGGCGGCACTCTATCAGAGAGCGGTATTGGGGTTGGCTTCGGATGGGTTGAAACTGGAGCACGGGGGAGTGATCCCCAGATGCCCGCGGGAAGCACATCACAGGGCGCTTTCCTACAGGAATGAATATTCCAGGGCTGGGCGGGGAGGTTCTGGAGCGCCCGATGGATGACTCTTGGGCAGGTTTCCTGGAATAGAGAAGTCAGAATAGTCGCAGAGAAAGAGTACTTGCTATTGATATAAATTGAAGCAGGCCGCTAGTTAGTGACAGAAAGAAACTCAACTTTTAGCCCTCTTACCAATAATGAACGAACCCGGCCCTGTCAAACCGCGGAGACACTGAGAATAATTTCCAAACCTTGCATTTCCATCAACAACAATCTATCCCAACTGTTTCATCACGACAAACTGGAAACAAGGTCCTTTGGCGGCTTGTGCCAGAGTGTCGTACTTGGGGCTTTGGCTGCCCGTGTGAGTGGTTGGCGGTTTGCTGGGCGCATTTAAGATTCAGGGGTTCGTTGTTCTGTCACCGGATTACCGCTGCAAATCAGGGGCTAGCGCGCGGCGGTGGCTGATACGGCGGCGCCAAAATACCGGCGCATTACGCATGTATGGGAGTCAAAAATACACATAGTTCGCAAAGTCCTGCATCGCAGCCTGTCTTCTGCTCGACTCCGTTCTCTTTTATCTATCTTCCTATTCATTATTTCTTCGCTGCGCCCTACCACCCTCATTACTTTTGTAACTTGTTCTTTGTGTGTGCAGCGGGTGTTATTCTCGTGCGCGGCACATCGAGCGTTCCTCTCGCTTGCTTGATTCACAGCGGTCGTTCTTTGACTACGGAGAACACAACAACAACCATCATTGCGCTGGGGGAACTTACCCCCTTCGTCGCGTCCACAACCTCCAACTCCCCTCCTTCACCCTCCTAGCAACCTCATCTTCTTCCCATTGCAATACATAGTCTGTCATTTATCTCATTCAGATTCTTCCTCGTTCCTTCGCCATTCTCTTGACATTTTCTCTTCTTGCACTCCCTCTGCTATCAGATTTCAAACCAGACTGCTGTTTACCAACAACTGTTCATCAAGTTAAGACCGGTGCTGTGCGCTGGGATATTTTCTCTCCTACCAACCCTAACGGGTTTTCAAGCCCTTTTTTTTTTTTGTGTCTATCTCCATCTTCTGGGGCTGTCTAGGCCTCTTGACCAAAGCACGATGAGGTTATCATCAGCCCTCTTGGGCGCCACCCATATATGGCTATGGATGGGGGGGTTATCAGGCGTTGTTAATGCTATTCCTATGCCCCAAGAGAACCCGGCTCCTCAAGCATCAGATTTCTGGGTGAGCTCTATCGAACGCCAAGGTGCCCCTGCATTCAGAGAGGCCGGCGGCGAGTATCAGATATATCGTAACGTTAAGGACTTCGGTGCAAAAGGTATGGTATTGGATAACCCTGTTGCTCCCCCTTCTCATTCCGTGCCACACGAAGCTTTTTGCTAACAACCCATACGTGACACAGGCGACGGTACCACAGATGATACTGAAGCGATCAACCGAGCTATCTCAACCGGAGATCGATGCGGACTGGGTTGCGACTCGTCTACTGTGACCCCTGCCATTGTTTACTTCCCAGCAGGCACATACGTTGTCTCCAAGCCGATTATCCAGTATTACTACACGCAGCTCGTTGGTGATGCTTTGGGTCTGCCCACTATCAAGGCTGCTGCCTCCTTTCAAGGAATTGCTGTTATCGATGCTGATCCATACACCGACTCGGGCGCTAATTGGTATACCAACCAAAACAACTTTTTCCGGTCCATTCGAAATTTCGTTATCGACTTGACAGGCATGGATCAAGGATCTGGTGCTGGTATCCATTGGCAGGTGGCACAAGCCAGCAGCCTGCAGAACATCCGTTTCGAAATGGTCCAAGGTGGTGGTGAAGCTAATAGGCAACAAGGTATTTTTATGGACAACGGTTCTGGAGGCTTCATGACAGACCTCGTTTTCAATGGTGGTAACTACGGCGCCTTCTTGGGCAACCAACAGTTTACCACTCGCAACCTCACGTTTAAGAACTGCAACACAGCAGTGTTCATGAACTGGAACTGGGCGTGGACATTCAAGTCGATCACCGTGAACAATTGTGGCGTTGGTCTGAACATGTCTAACGGTGGTTTTAACCAGACCGTTGGCTCGGTACTCATCCTTGATAGCACATTTATCGGAACACCAAAAGGGATTGTCACCTCTTACGATGATAACAGTGTTCCTGAAACAGGAGGAACTCTCATCCTTGACAATGTTGACTTCACAGGCTCTGAAGTGGCGGTGGCCCATCTCGATGGCTCCGTTGTCCTTAATGGAGGCTCAGTCGTCACCTCATGGGCCCAGGGCAATGCCTTCACTCCTGCGGGAAGCTTACCCATCAAGAACTCCAAGAGAAAGCCCGTCCAAGAACTAGCTCCTGTTTACATAGTGGAAGAAATTGTCAAGAGGGGGGCTGAGCCTCAACCAGCTCCTGTTTATACAGTGGAACGTATTATCGGGAGAGATAGTTGCAGTGCCCCCGCGCCACCTGCACCCGAGCCAGCTCCAATTTCCCCGGAGCCCACTCCATCACGCCAGCCGCCGCCGTCCACGCACAATTCTCCAACACCATCGCAAGGTAAGCCATACGCTACGGAGTCGAAGTCATCAGTTGTAACCCCATCGTCTGTTGCGTCTTCTGTACCACCGTCGCCCACGCCCTCTCCAACGGATCCTAACCCTGCATCATGCCCTACCACACCTCCCCAGAAAACTCGAATCAGTGCTGGACTTGCCAGCCCCACCAAACCAGCAGTTCTCCTTGACCCATCTGGAAAGGTATTTGAACGGACCAAGCCACAGTATGAGGACGTCCCCACGAAGTCGTTTATTAGCGTCAAGGGTGCTGGGGCCAAGGGAGATGGTGTAACGGATGACACAGAAGCAATCCAGGCAGTACTTGATAGCGCAACGCCAGACCAAATTGTATACTTCGACCACGGAGCCTATATTATCACTTCCACGCTCAAAGTGCCCAAGGAAATCAAGATCACCGGTGAAATTTGGCCGCTTCTCATGGCATCTGGACCGGCCTTCTCCGACGAATCGAAACCCATCCCTATGCTGCAAGTCGGGCAGCCAGGCGACAAAGGAAACGTTGAAATTAGTGACCTGATGCTCGAAACCAAGGGACCTGCCCCGGGTGCCATTTTGGTAGAGTGGAATGTTGCTGAAACAACACAAGGTTCGGTCGGAATGTGGGACGTGCACATGAGAGTTGGAGGTTCTGCCGGTACGGAACTACAGAGCGACACCTGTGCCAAGACTCCCAACAGCACCACCACACCAGACCCCAAATGCGTTGGTGCATTCATGCTCATGCATATCACGAAAGAAGCCTCTGGGTACTTTGAAAATACTTGGCTCTGGGTTTCAGATCATGAACTGGATTTGCCGGATCATGGCCAGATTAATATCTACAATGGCCGTGGCTTACTGATCGAAAGTACTGGACCAGTCTGGCTCTATGGTTCCGCGAGTGAACACTCCCAGCTCTACCAGTACTCCATCGTCGGTGCAAAGAACGTTTTCCTGGCCCTGATCCAGGTGGAAACACCATATTACCAGGCCAATCCAAACGCCCTTGTCCCATTCAAACCCAACGAAGACTTTCACGACCCAGATTTCTCCCACTGTCAAACAGACGCATGCAAGAAAGCCTGGGGCCTGCGCATTTTCGACTCCAGCGATGTGTTCCTCTACGGCGGCGGCCTGTACAGCTTCTTCGAGAACTACGACCAGGAATGTCTCGCCACCGAATCCTGCCAGGAGAACATGATTGAAGTGGATTGTTCTCCCGTGCACCTGTACGGCATTAGTACAAAGGCCAGCACGAACATGATCACGAGAAGCGGAGGGGGTCAAGGGCTTGTGAAGCAGATTGAGAATCGCAATACGTTCTGCTCGACCCTGGCTGTGTTCCAGCAGGCGACGGCGTAGATATAGTTGTACTGTAACTTACCTCTATTTTTCAATTCCATGTATTCTTGCCATGCCGAAGGGATGCCCACGTAGTTAGGATGATGGTGACTGTTGTTCCAAGCGCATCCAACGTCGCGTGTATATGTGTTCTAATAATGTTGAAATTTGTTTTTTTCTAAAAGTGAAACATGTCACTCTTTTTCTTCTCCTGTTATTTATTTTAGTTCACTGCGTTACATCTCTCCCTTTTATATCCTTTCACGCCAACGTTTTTACTTCAAGGGAGGTCCGCTTCTCTTTTACTCTCCTTTTCTAACTCCACAAGGCGTTCTTGTATCGGTTATCAATTCAGGTAGTTTATCGAGTCAATGGAAACAAATCGGAAAACACCCAGTAATGAATAACAGTGCACCCATCCCTGATTTTATTAGAACGGGGCGCGAGATTCAATTATCTGGCAAAATTCGTGGTCAACATTTTGCCGTTTTGGGATCGCGCGCTCCTGGTTGCTGGCCAAACGCCGTTGTCTCAACTGTCAGCAACCACATCAATTAAGAGCCCACACCGGAGCAAGTATATTCCTTCCATCGGTTGATTTAGATGGGGTAACCAGATCTAGGATCCAAGCTTGTGTGGCGGCGCCGGTCCCTTAGGGAAATATTTCGCATATGGTCAATAACCCTAGTCTGTACGGAGTATGTCCAGCAGGTCCCAGCTTACCCTTTTACGAGCTGTTCCGAGAGCGGGTTTGGTTCTGCTCCGCGCTCCGCAGCCTTTTCGAACATAATTTTGATTGTTTCGTACACAGTCTAGGAGCCGAAAGGATCGGCCAGAGAGCCCAAGCTGGGGTGGGGGTATTCGGTTGTAGGTGCGGATTTCCCATCGCATTGGCATGCGTCGAGGACTGAACTGAGTGGCATACAGTTGTTCGATGCAAGAGCTCGTTATTTTTTTGTTGGGCAGACACGAAATTTCGTCCATGGACTCTGTGGACGTAACTACAGTAAGTTAGTTACATAAGATGACGATTTGCCGAAGTTGCAACAGCTGGACTTTGGCTGTAGGAGTGTTTATATCTGCTTTCCATGCCACGGCTGACATCTCCCAGAATGGATTCCGCATGCAGCGGATGGAGGAGGCCCGAAGCTGAAATCCAAAACATGACTAGGAAATGCTAGTTACTTGCAATGGTTCTTATCAAGGCAAGATGCCACTTCAAAAGGCATCAGCGGTCGCGCCTTTTGCAGATTTACTCAGTCTAGTTTTCGTCTGGCAATTTCGCCCCGCTTTGCATTTCTCACAGTCTGCAGATCAATAGTAGTATTTGGAATCTGGGGGAGTATAGGGAGTATAGCGCGGGGTGTGGTTTCCCTCTCCCTATCCAGGAATATCAACCATTGCTTTTCTTTCGGAGCATTGAGAAAGGGCGCAAGCCTCCACTACTGGGGAATCCTCTTTACCCCCAGCTGCGCACATCAGATTTAGCGATGTTCAGGCAACAAGATCGCTCTCAAAGTTCATCCCAACCTGTTGCACCCGTGAGATGCTTTTGCGCGCAGACTTTCTCCAGGATTTGATACCCCAACGAACCAACCACCAAGAAATCCTGGGAGCCATACACGGGTAACTCCGTTCCAAGGTTGCTTTTGCACTGATCCTTCTGGAACTATCATTTCTGCAATCCCTCCATGTTGAGTAGCCGGTTGCTCGACGCAGTTTACGCAGCGTACAGAGTGCGTGTTACCTTTCGCAAGGTTAAATCATTGGCCCATCATACCCTGCAGTGCAGTGCCAAGCAGGCTTTTGAGAGCGTGGCTGGTTTTAGCTCAAGGTAAATTGGTTGCTACAATTCCCATCATCAAGGCTACTCTACTGTGTAGATCTATTTCCTGATGGGTAGAGGGCTCGGATCACGGATTTGGAGGACGTTCGTCAGGTAAACCCATTTGCTTCGAGACGCCCACCAATCCAAGTCACCGCGGTCTTTTGCTGTGTGTTCACGGCCCACGTAGCTCCATTAGGCTGCCCTCTGAGAACACCGAAACTCCTAATTATTAACCTTGCAGTGGAGAGGTTTTGAAGAATACGCCCAAGTCAAACGACCCTATGTATGGAGTCTGAACTCTGGCCTCGTGTGGTGCAGTGCAGCGTGGCCAAAGGGATAACTAACTAACCAACAACAACAGATCCCCAGCCGCAGAATCCGAAATCGGAGCATCGGCATTGCCGTCGGTAGAGTACATACATGCTTGGCTTCTACTCCGGCAACATGTAGACGCAGCCGTCCTCCATTTTGATGATATCTACTTCTCATTTTCACATTTTTGTCAGTTTTCTGGCTAATCGTTATCAAGATACACATCCTGCCTCAGATCATCAAAGATGTTTTCTGCTGCCACCCGAGTCAAGTATCATATTTTTGTATTGGTCATCTCGGGTGTTCGTGTGGCCGCAGAGTGCCGCCCCTTTTACTCTGGGCAGTGACTGTACCAAACCCTCTCAACTCAGGCCTCCGGGCGGGGCTCGCACGCCACCAAGATGGTCCCCGGCAGGGCGCTCTCGAAAAGACACAGATCTGCACGCTGCCCAGCTTCCTTCCGTGGGCCAAAGTGTATTTTCAACATCAATGAGCACTGAGCAGGTAGTATCTCTACAGCGGACATGCCCTTCCTAGGAGTGATGTCCGCCTAGGAGGATAGGTCGCGGCCTCTCCGCAGCACAGATCCGCAGATATGCCAAAACGACCGCCGTTTGCAAATATGTTTCGTTGTTGTGTCTTGAGACGAGTTGCTTTGTTTGGAATTTGCCAGCTCTTCCTTTGTTGAAAGTTCTCTACGGTATTGCCGGGGCCACTAATGACTCGAATGAATTTATTCGAAGCCCAAGAAAGTTTAAAAAGACTAGTGGAACCGCATGAAACTTTTGTGACTTCCAGTCAAATTACACTAGTCCCAAAGTAATTTGGTTTGTTCACCGTTTATCTCCTGGTCTTCACCTCTCTACTTCTAACTTCTATGACTGCAGGCAGTTACAATTATCTAATAAATAATCTGTATATATCTGTATAGATAAATATAAATAATTAGAAAATATACACTTAAAAAATATAATCAGAGTGAAACTCTTATTAATTTCATGAATAAATATTATTCTGAAGAAAATGTGTGAGAAGAACTGAAGAAGAGTAAATGAGTTGGGTGATTTAAGTACCATGTGACACTATAACTTCTACCTACCAAAGCTATTTTGGGACTAGGTAGTTGGAAGTCACAAAAGTTTCATTCGAGAGAGTTGAGCTGGCTACAAGCCTACAAGGCCCTCAACTTTACCCAAGTTGGGCTTATTCCATGGTTTCTCCTCCGTCCATAGTCCCAGACGCCAGAGCGTGATAGAAACCGAGCTTGATTATTGTCATTCTTCATATTTTCGGTTGTGAGTTCGCGTCCTTCTTGATACGATACGCAGGATAGAGGAAAGCATTAGCACTACTTGCAGTTAGGTTAGGCAGTAAGGCCCCTGCCCCCGCAGTAAGTGTTTGTCCTATCCTTCACGTATGTTTTTTAGTATTGTCTTATAAATCGATTTTGATAATTGTATTCCTGACACGACAAAGCGGAAGGGCTAGTCCGATTATCATTATTAATTGCCAAGAAGCAGTTTTCATGACACACAAGGCCAACCAGCAGCAAAAGGCCAGTTGTGCCAGGTTGTGCCTCTTGACCCCCTATCCGTACTTTTAGGCAATTGACCGAATTTTAGTGACCAATTGTTGATGCGAAATTTCTATTCATCTAGCGTAGTCGGGATGATGGATCTTGAACTTGCCATCCCAAAACAACTCCCTCCAAAGAGTTCCTCCGTTCAAGCTCAGGAGAAAGTATCCACGTGGGAACTGTGGCGTTCTTGTAGAGATCGTAGGGCTACTAACACTCTTTCGCGAATAGAAAGCCCTGGATATGTACAGCATTCATGATGATCTTGAATCCTGAGCAGTGTTGGCAGGGTTGGCTTTGTTTGATAGCGCCAACTATGACTTTCCACTTTTGAGAGTTGACTCAAGAAGCTCACGAATAATTCCAATTCTCGGTGGATGTCCGCTGGAGCTTATGTGTGGATCGCAAGGATATAGGGGCAATTATAGCAGCCCAGACTCCAGACTCCAGAGCAAGCATGTCGACATTTGGGGCTCGCTCCAGCATTTCTGGCGGATATGGATAAGCACTCCTTAGCGTCCCGGCTTCGGCCTGCATCCGGGTCCTTCGTGTTTCCCCGCGTCAATTCTCTGGGTTATGACACGGCTCACAGACAACGCGGGGACGTGGATCAAGCATAACGTCTTGCCCGAGAATGAATGGCAACCTCAGTTTCCGAGATGGACCCAGGTTCTCGGCCACTCTCGTTCTTGAAAGGCAGGGAGACTGCAACATGCGGGCAATCCCAGATTCGGTCGGGCCTATATAAATTGTAATGCCCTCGCAAAGCCGGCTACAGAATATGACCAGGGCCAAACCCACTCTCCTATCCATCTTCCTATTAATTTTCCTTTTCAACTTTGGGCACCTAAAAACCAAAGAGAGGCAGGAGGATCTAAACTGGAACCATGGCCAAGACCACGATGTCGTCCTCTGACGAGAAGTTGCCTCCAGATCAGATCGAAGATAAATCCAGGGGAGAGGAAGAGTCTGCCGGAATGTTCTCAGCCAAAGAAGCCGCTGCCATTAGGCGTCGGATAGACTTCAGACTCATCCCAGCGCTGGGTTTGATGTACGGCATCTCCCTCATGGACCGGAAGAACGTCTCCAACGCCGCCATCGCGGGCATGCGAAAGGATCTCGATTTGCTACAGGGGTACCGGTACAGCTTGATCACTCTCACCTTCTTCATCACATACGTCATTTTTCAGCCTCCGATGACAGTCCTGTGCCGCAAAATTGGTCCCCGCCTCTTTTTGCCGGGCATCTGTTTGTTATGGGGGATTGTGATTATCTGTTTTGGGTTTGCCAATAATTGAACCACGATGGTGGCTTTGAGACTCATACTTGGAATTCTCGAGGCGGGATACTTTCCAGGGTAAGATACCCTCTGGGCCTACCTAAAGCTCCTAACTAATTCCAATTTAAGAACGATTTACCTCCTATCAACATGGTATTTGAAGTGTAAGTCATCCGGAGATCAATTCCCCTTCAGGCCTTCTTCTCTGACTTCTTCTAGTTGAGGTGGCACGGCGGTATTCGGTCTTCTATCTGATTGGGAGTTTTGCAAGTGCACTCTCTGGAATTGTCGCATACGGGCTCATGCAGATGGAAGGTGTACAAGGAATCCGGGGCTGGCGCTGGTGAGTATGCTCTTATTCGTACAGTGTATGTCCAATTTGGATTTTAGCTAATTTAACGTAGGATTTTTATCATGGAGGGTGTGGTAAGTATTATTACCGAAGAAACCAGACAAAACGTGTTCTAATGGCGAAGCAAAGATTACTGTCGCTATCGCCCTTGTCGGGTACCTATTTATTGTTCGCTTCCCAGATGCAGAACAAAAGAAGCCGTCGTTCCGCTTCCTGAAGCCAGAAGAATGCCAATTCATTGTCGAGCGTTTGGACAGAGAGCGGGGCGACGTTGAGCCTGAAAAGTTCAACTTGGTCAAATTCTTGAAACCCGCTGGCGACATCGAAATTTGGGGATTCGCCTTTATGTTCTTGTAAGTATTTGGTTTATGTAGCTGGCAGCTTGCCCGCCTCTAACCTCCCTCACCCTTGACGCCGAACTGTTCGCCTACACAAGAACGCCCCCTTCCTTTGCGCTCATTTTCCAACATTATCTAGCTGTATTACGACTGTCACCTATTCATTTTCGTGTAAGTCTCCCCTCATGGGCCAAAATCACGATCGCATGCCCTCATCAACTAATTAATGGCAATAATCAGTTTTCCTCCCGATCATCCTCAAAGATAACCTAGGATTTTCCATGGCTGCCTCTCAATGTCTGATTGCACCACCATACGCATTTTCCGCAATTTTAATGTTTACAACAGCATGGTTCGCGGACCGCCTTAGACTCCGAGCGCCTTTCATTGTATTCAACAGTGTGCTCTCGCTGATCGGCTTGCCGATCATGGGATTCCATTATAACCCCTCTGTGAGATACTTTGGTGTTTTCATTGGTGTTGCAGGTGCCAATGCCAATGTTCCGCTTGTGATGGCATACCAGGTAAAAGAATTATCCATATCGCTTGATGAGTTTCTGATTTGATTCAAATTCCAGTGGCTAACTTTGAACTTCTTTCTTTAATTAAAAGGCCAACAATATCAGAGGACAATGGAAGCGCGCGTTCTGCTCAGCGACCTTGACCGGCTTTGGAGGAATTGGAGGGTACGAATTCATTCCTCTGCCAAAGCACCGGAGACTCCCCGCATGACGTGCAACGCTAACCCTCAACCGCCACATAGAATCGCAGGAAGTCTTGTTTTCCGCACGCAGGATAAACCATCATACACCCCTGGAATCATTGCTACAATGGCGTATGTATCCCGGGAATTTACTGCTCCCAGCACGCTTCACGGATTACCCCTTCTCTCTAACCATATATCTTCATTTATCTAGTGCTTGCGCCTGCGTCGCCATCACAATTTGCCTCATGACTGTGTACTTCAAGTGGCAAAATGCCAAAGCAGATAGAGGGGAAAAGATCCTCGTCGACGACCCAGACTTCAGATACACTCTGTAATCGGGCTCTGAACACAATCTGGCTCCACGATGAGGTTTGGAAAATGGGATTAATAAGAGTGGGTTCTTTTGCGTTTCTATTGGGCTTGTATTTTGCTCTATTTTTTGAAGGAGGCTTTATTCCTTCCACGCTTGTTGAAAACCCAACGGCATATAATAGGCGGTATATATATGCTTCTGATTGGTCTCCGGGATTGTGTCAGTGACCACATGATATTCAGGGGCCAGGGGCTCTGTACTCGTAGGGAGCGGTACTGGAGCCGGCTGGGTACATACGATTTAACTACCAGTTAGCTCCGTAGGAGAAGTATTCTTATTTAGTTGGGTTCTCAGGATGAACCCACCTTTCAATATGACGACCACAAATCATGAATCACTCCTGCTTGATTATTACCATTCATAATCATGCCAAGAGACAAGTGGGAGAAGTGTCTAAGCAAAAAGCAATAGAAGAAATGAAACGTAAAAGACAAGGTAAAGGTAGGTAGATAGATACCTGGTGGAAAAGGGTTATGCTTCGAGAAGTGCGATCTACTGGTATTTAGCAGACATACCAAGGTGGATTTTAAAATGGGATGAGATCATTGAGCAAAACAGGTGTAAGGATCTTAGATCCGGTCTCTACATGACTGTCGTGGGGATAAGATCCAGGCTATTTACATGAAATTGTAAGGGGCCATTGGGGTGGAGTAAACCGAGAATGAACAAGCCATAATAAGAGGGCGAAACCAGGGTGAAGAAGGGAAAGGCCGCAGTTCAACGCCTGCCGAATAACAAGGTAAACCATACAGTTAAATTATTGGTTCTCTTTCAATTTCACGCATTTCCCTCCTTATCAACCTTGCAAGTCTCTGAACCCCTTCGTCAAACTTCCCATCCTCCTCCCACGCAAAACACAACCTGACAAACCCCTCAAAGTCCTCTGGATTCTTCTCTACGCAATCATCATTCCCATGGCCATAATCTTCCCGAACTACTTTAAACAAATTTCCACCCGCAATCATTAAATCCTCCTCCTCCTGCGCCTTCTTCGCTAAATCGCTAGCTCTCAGGCCTGGCGGGAGGCGGAGCCAGAGGAAGTACCCACCGGCAATACCACTTTGACTGCCGGTACTACAAGTGCTGATGGTGTTGGCATTCGGGTCGGTCTCCGTGGAACTGATACTTGCAGGGTCGTTTGGCAACGACACACCAAGCGGGAAAAGATGTTTTCGCACGGCTGCGGTGAGGGAGTGGAAGCGCTTTGAGTACGCAGGTTGCAGGACGGTTCTGATATGAGTCTGCAGTGAGTTTGAAGCTAGTAGCTCGCGGACAAATGTCGATGTGAACTGGGAGGGGCAGCCGCCTGAACGCGAGGACCCGCTGTGCCGTATATAAATGCATATGTCATTGTTAGCTAGGCTTGTCTCCAAGTCATAAATTCCTTGTCTTTATAAAGCCAATTCTTTAATATTAACTGTAGAAGGATAGTGCATACGCCTGTGACAAGCCATAGACAAATTTCTCAGTCCCCTCCGCCCAGCCAACGCGACACCCAGCACCGATAAGTTTGCTAAAGCTACCGTTGCTAACAGCATTTCCGAACTCTCCTAATGGCCCTCCATCGAGAAATCGGTCGACATCCACGATGCGAGGGACAGTGGCTTCACCTGGATACTCTGGGATAGGGCATGTAGAGGGAGAGGCGGGCCATTGGAGGTGATCATATACATCATCGGAGATGATCAGGGCGTCGTATTTCCTCGCAAGCCGGACAAGTTCTTCCCGACGTCGGAGGCTCATTATTCTTGTGGAAGGGTTGGAGAAGGTCGGGGTTGTGTATATAATGTGCTTATATAGCTTCCGCCACGGGCGGGAAGGCTTGAAGGCCCGTCTCTGTAATTCTCGTAGGGGAGAATATAGAATGAGCAACCGACGGCCATGGATGCAAATGACTGCAACGCAGGAGAGAGGGAACAGCCCATCTTACCAGCCCTGGGTACAGCATACCAGTTCAAAATCTTCTGCTCCCGAATTTCGATTCCGATCGCCCTCCCGCTTCAGTTCTGCCCTTGCTCGCTCCTCACTCGCCTCCAAACCCCTTTCTAGATCACCAATATCCAACCCTTCCTCATCTTCCCTCACCCCCCTGAGCTTCCCCGCAAAACCCGCATCATCAAAAATCCGACACGCCAAATAATACGTCGGCGCAACCATCCATACGTTCTTCGTGTACAACGGGTCAGAGAACACCTGCAGTAGACAAGCGAGGTTTTGGCTGGCCCCGCCGGTGATGCAGATGCGAGAAGGAGCTACGGGGGATGGAGGGGAGTAGAAGTTAGACAGCCAGCGGGCTATCTCGTCGCGGAGGCCGGGGTCTCCTTCATCTGGACCGTAGTTGAGAGCCGGAGTCGAGAGGAGAGGGTTGGACAGAACCGCTGATGTGGCGGCGGTAAGAGCGGGAATAGGATGGAGGGAGGGGTTCGGCCATCCTCGAAATAAGTTTATCGGCATCCCTTTCCGTTTTTCTTTTGTTACTTTCGTCTTTCAGGGAAGGGAATGGAGTCTGGTTTTGGGATGAGGCTGCGTAATCTAAAGCAATTGATGATGCCTTATCAATGTCTATAATTATCCATGTAATAAATTTACTGTTCCGTATATAAATAAATACCAAAACGCATAACTACTTTGCAGCTCAGCGGGAGGGAGGTCAATTAGGGCAAGTACGCCGCTAGTCTGTTTTAGATTAAGTTAGCGCGCGGCTCCAGGTTTAGCATAACTCTAGTCTCAACAGTGGTCTGCTGCTTTGGACAAACCTTCATCCTGAGCGAAATATCAATTCTTTCGCAGTTTATGGGACCTGCTGCTCCCATTCGTTGTTCCCCTGTTACAGGTTCGACTCGATATTTGAGATTCGTTGGCCCTGAGCACAAGAAGCTGTATTGACACCGGATATGGGCTCGTTCACCATCCACGGATCCGGGCGCTTAGAACCAAGGGCTATGTAAGACGGTTAGGCTGTGTGGATTTGATATTTGAGATTTGTTGGCCCTGGGGATATGGAGCTGTATTGGTGTCAGACATGGGCCCGTTCACCAGGGATCCTGGCGCTTAGAACTGTGAACTGTGTAAGGCTGGATGGATCTATTGCAAGGTCAAGGATTAAATAAATATGTTCCTAATTGACAATCATTTTTCCAGGGGCGAGCTAGTGAGTTTCCTGCAGGTGCCATTGGCCTGTCTCAAGCAACAGTCCAATGTTTCCAACATGAATTCTCTATAACCGCCCGCTGCCAGAATTCAAGCTGTTCAAAGGTCTCTGGGCGGGAGCCCCTGAACGTACCGTGTATATGTCGAGAATATATAAACATCGATGGGGCACCCACGTTGCGAACAATGACTCTACAACATAATCACTATTCTGCAACTTCACTATCTCAGTTTGTCCCCTATCGAGAAGTCATCTAGAATTGGCAAAACCTTCCAGAATATATCCCGCGTTGCCTTTAAGGATTGACTTCCACGTCCCAGCGGCTTTCGAACAATATCTTTCCCGCGGAACTACGCAGAAACAAACATGAGTTGTCCTCCACTCGGCGAGTTTCATATCGGTTGGATCTGCGCCCTTCCAATAGAGGCTGCCGCAGCCAGAATGATGCTCGATAAAGATTTTGGAGTTCTCGGTGAACAGGATCCGAGAGATTCAAATGTCTACAGGTTGGGAACAATCGGCAAACACAACGTTGTGATTGCCTGCCTACCTGCAGGACAAATTGGACCGGTCATAGCTGCCACAGTCGTTAATAATATGGTTCGCACATTTTCTACCTTGGAGTTTGGCATAATGGTTGGTATTGGAGGGGGCATTCCGTCTGCTGACCATGATATACGCCTTGGTGATATTGTCATTGGCTGCTCGTTTGATGATTCGAGAGTGGTAGTTCAACATGACACGGTAAAGTACGTCGCGGGTGGTGAGCTTTATCGGACTGGTTTCTTCAACAACCCTCCTCGGCCATTGTTGGCAGCGACCCACGCGATGAGGACTGCTCACCTGGCAAAGAATCCTCGTTATACGCAATACATGCAAGATGCAACCGTGAGGGATACCCGGACTGGGAAAACCTTTAGTCGACCTAGTGCGCAAACAGATCGATTGTTCAAAGTTGAGTATGGACATTCTGCTCGCACAGCTGGCTGTGAGGAATGCCCGAAAGGGTGGGAGGTGTCTAGACCTGAACGTGAATGCAATGATCCGCGGACGCACTACGGTATCATCGCTTCTGGGAGTGCCGTTATAAAGGATGGACGGAAAAGAGAAAATATTCGGTTGAAAACTGGGGCTCTGTGTGTTGAAATGGAGGCAGCGGGTATGGTGGCCGACTTTCATTGCCTCGTTATCCGCGGTATCTGCGACTATTCGGATTCCCACAAGAACAAGCAATGGCAAGGATATGCAGCCCTCGCGGCCGCAGCGTATGCCAAAGACTTGCTGGGGTATGTACCCAAAGGCAATTCTTCGAAGGAGGTGCACGCAAAGGTTGTAAGTGACCACTGAAATTGCTGGTAGCGCTTAATATTTTCAATAACGTCGTTAGGAAACCCATACTGACATGGTTCTCGCTAGATTCTACGAAAATTTTAGCTGAAGAAGTTTAGAGAGCCGCCAATCAGCGATTTGAGAGAGCATTCAATCAAACAGAACAACTCTATCGCGAGGATACGGCTAAAGTGTTGGCTGATGAGCGGCGACTGTGTCACCAGGCTTGCAAAATATCCAATTATGAGCGACAGAAGGACATCAATCCGTATAGACTACCAGACATGTAGCATCCAAATTACCCCCGCTGGCGGGACAGATTTATTACTGTGGATATCAGCTAGCCCTCTGGCTGTTTTGTAATCCGTCCTAGCGAGATCCCCTGTCGACGAGGACCGACCTGAAAGAAACTTGGTGGGCAATAATTTTGTTTATTATTCTTTTAAGTTATCGGAGTTCATGGTATATAAAATTCTTTAACCTTTGATATTCCGTGGTCTTCCCGCTCATGCGTATTTCTTATCTACGGTACAAAGTACATGTACATTAATCCGTACACACAACTACGTCATTTCACCATTTGCAACCCTCATTTCTTCATTTTTAAATCGGCACAGCTCAGCAGGGAATTCTGAAACAAACTGGCAACAACTTCTATATATATATATAATCGCATGAGGGGGCTGAACATCTATCCGTGAACTCACTTGTGATTGAAGCTATTGAATTCCTAATATACATATCAAATATCTTGCTCTTTTCCATATCTCTGTGTTTATTTATAGCAACACTTATTGCGGGGCCGCATGTCAGCGACAATTAGCCTCCCTTTCTTCATTTTTCGTCATTTTTTTCACTTTTAATTTTTAAAGTTAAAGGAATCAACAAATCCTTCAACAGCAGTTTAATTAAACATATCATTTCTTATGAGTGTACTAGTAGTCTTGTCTTCACAGTATGATGATGTTCTGTCATGTTCGGGACATCTCAGTATTCTTCATTAATTTTCATATTGCAATTTTTTCTCTTGCCACTGTCCTCTTTTCTTTTTCTCATCGTTGTTTAGCGCGGCAAGGGAGGTTGAATGGACCCTGTAGAGGCGCAAGGGGCAGGGAGGGACGTTATCGAAGCCAGAAATAGCCGGTTGAGCCGCCACCCGAGCCGGCTCGTTTTGGATTTGGAATTTGCCCTGCTGTTGCGGCCACGCATGGCGAAACTCCTGTAACTAATAATAATAAAGAATTATGCGGTCCGTCAGTTCCCGGATTCGCTGCTGGACCATAGTGTCGTGTCGAAGCACATCGCTAGATGTGCACTCCCAGAGTAAAGCCGAGACAAAAGAGCTCCTGTTCGGAAACGCGGGCGTGTCCATTGGACCTCGAAAGTTAAACACCGCCCCTTGGCAGCTACATACGTATAGCAGAGCTGGGGTGGAAGCAGCTGTTTGGACGTAAAAAAATAGAGAAAATAAAGATATAAGGGGGAAAACGACATCACTACTGTACTGCACGGCACCCTCAGTACGGAGTACATAAAAAGAAAAGAAAAACAAAGGCTGGTAAATGAGATAGGCTGGATTGGAGGCACTCGAGAAAAAGCGGCCTTGCCAGGGATAATACAGGGTTTGAAAAAATATCTCTCCGAAAATAAAGGGGAGAAAAAGTGAAGCAAGGAATGCGGCCTCTGCCTCAGTTCCTCTTCAACGTTAGTTTGCCGGACAAAGAGTCCGAGGAATACTGGAAGAAGAATAACGGTGATATCAATGATAGGCAAAACCGCAGCCCTCGTATTCCCTCGCTCCCGTACAGTACATAAATGTGTAACTAATGGAGGAGTTGTTCGGGTTTGGGATTTCCAAAATCGATGGTTTTTGGCGTAGCTCCCAATAGTTAACTAAGCCCCGCGAAGGGGGCTGATGGACGAAAGGTGCCGAGCTTGCGAATCATAGTGGACACCACAGCTGTCATGCGTAATTTTCTCGGAAGCTTCCACCTGGCGGCGTCCCAGGAAACTACAGACTGGATCTCGCCAGTGGATGATGCGCTCGAGCGTTCCGGTAGAGTTTAGCATAACGAGAATTGCGTTCTGGAGAAATGCTCTTTTGCATTCCTATTTTTCTCTCTCTAGCCCTTGTTTTGACAGGCTTGGCCAATGTCACTGGTAGAGAGTAATGCAGATAAGGTGCTTATTTTTATCGGCTGAGTGAGGCTAAAATCTGACACTGACCACCCAGTCTTTGTCCAGGGGCAAAAGGGCATCACCGGGATTATTATAAATTATTTTTAAGGCGGCGTGTTTCAACATGAACGTGTGGCGGTCTTCACGAACAAACCAGCCACAATCGGATTGCCCAGCTTGGGCTAGTTAGTTAAGTTGCAGCCAGTGGCGCTATGGCGCTATGGCGCTGGTAGCGGGTTTTAGAAGAAGCTGCTATTTTTTCCAGATTGTTCTGGTACTCATCCAGAACCAGGAGAAAGACAAACAATTGCTTTATCTACTTTGTGCCATATTCCCAGTTGTTGAAGGGCTTTTTGCAGCAGTAGCATCCCACAACATCTTTCTTGGACCACCCAGGTCGGACAGTTCTCACTCCAAAAATGGGGCGATTCGAGGAGACAATAAGGTGTTCGGCCCACCGGAGGGAGGCTAACAAATACCGCCGCCTTATTAAAAGTTCGAAATTTCAGGTTGGTGGTGTTACCTTGTTAGAACAGGCGTCAAGGCGTCAATTCGCCAGTTAGCGGGCAGCCGTCGCTGGTCGGCTGCTGAGCCACTATGTGGATCACCTTCAACCACACGGGTCCCAAAATCCATACACAGGTATCCAGTGGGTGGTTGTTGAAAAACGGCCAAGAATCCGCTAATGACGTTGGGCGAATTATTTCCCCATTTGTTCGCACGCTGACGATATCATGCATAGACCCTTAGGAAGTAACTTTGAATGCAAGATTTCAGGCCTGATGCTCAATTTGTTGCCTGAGAAAAAGTCGACTAGTGAAAGAAGAGGGAGGGGGGTGGTCTCCTACTAATCGCTTGTTTTGAGAATATTTCTGCCCATTTTTCTCCCATTTTTTTTTTCTTAAATTTTAGGTTAAGCCGGATCAATAAAAGCTTGAATATTTGTTGGTTATCGACCAACCTATCCAAATGGCCCGGCTAGACAGACAGTGCAACCGGTACTGTGTATGTTCTGGAGCAGGGTCACCTCAGCGCGAGAGGCATCAGAGTAGCCTATTCTCTAGTCAGTTAACTTGGTCATATTTTGCTGCGGCAAGGTATCAAAGAAAGAAGAAGAAGAAGAAGAAGAAGAAGAAGAAGAAAGATGATAACAGGAAGAGAAAGAGGAAGAGGACTGAATACGAGATAGAAACCCAACGCAGGCAGTGTGAGTGTCTGAGGCGAGGCCAGCGAAGTGGAGCAAAACCAAGAGACCCAAAATAAGAATGAATGCAACTAAAGAAAGTCCACGGATCTCGATTTGTGGACGCGGTTTGTTGTCCAGTCCAAAAGTACGTACCAGGACCAGGACCGGACCTTGTCTCTTGGTTAGCAAGTTGCAAAAATGAAGTCCCGTCTTTTTGAATTTGCTGGCGTCCGCCACTCCCATGCTTATGCTGGCTTCTTTATATACTCCGTACGGAGTAGAGTTATGCGCCCTGTAATCTTCGTTCGGCCGCAAGAAACTGGGAAGAATGTGAGTTGGGGCATACCATACAGGCGTACTCCGTAGTTAGGTATCCATTCATGCGGGCAAGAAGGTTAGTAGCAGCAGCATCTCCTTGTGGTTCTCATCAAGGCCATGAATGAATTGTCATCTCATTCATTATTTTAATATTATTAAACTAATAACTGTCAAGAATATCTAGCAGATTATTAAAATATCACACTACCCTACCCTAAGTTACCCTACCCTACCCATCCATCCCATCCCCACACCCAGTCTATCAAGATCTAATACAACAATACATGGTGGTTTATCAACGCCCAACCTTGTTAGGTTTTTATGTGCGCCAAGAATTAAACATGCGCAGCTCTTGCAAAATCCCCTCTATTATAAGTTGTTATTAATATTATTTGTTGTTTCTGTTTCTGTTGTTGTTGTTGTTTGTTCCAATTAATGAATGAACTTAGTTTTATTCTATACAACTACAACTACAACTACTACTACTACTACTACTACTACTACAACTAACTACTACAACTACTACTACTACATCGTCTTCTTCTCCATCTTCTTCCGTCCTCACAGACCCAGCCCAGACAGGGAGATCCGAATCCCTTGCTTTGTCCCTAGCCTTCCTTTATATTTTATGATTCTGAGATTCTGAAACTTCTTTTCTATTTTATTTTCGCCTCTGCTAATCAGTTCGGATGTTTCAGTGACCAGTCTGCTGCCTTGTGTGCCTTTTTTCTCAATGAATGTGCCACCGTCTTCACGCCCTCCCTTTCACAGTCCTACCTGCTGCCCAATCATTCTTTATAATCCATAATCAAACAAACAATGCTATCTATACCCGGGAAATCTGCCAGGCGACTTTCCTCTCTATTCTCGCTTGGCTCTAAGGATAAACAAGATGACGACGGGAAGGCTTCCCGCCATGCCACCCTTATTAAAACCCCTCCTCCTCAGTACGGAACCGCTCAAGGCCAACGCGCCCAACTACAGCCACAGCAGAATCGTGCCTCTTCTCCCCTGGGTCTTCGTCATGCTGCCTCTGCACAGCATATTTCGACAAATTCTCTAGGCTTTCTCCCCTCGAATAATAGGAACGTGTCCGCCCCGCTCCCCACCCTAACCTCAGCGCATGACGACAATGGCAACCGGGCCCCTCGGCCGCCTCTAAATACTGTAAATCCTGATCTGCCTGACTCAACTGCTGAGCGACGCCAGAGCTGGAGTGGTGGTGGGCTTTCAAATATGGCGGGCGGGCTTTCACGGCCTGCCTCGAGATCGGGGCTCTTGACTGCAGTCAGCACAGATTCCAGGTCCTCAAAGACTCGGAGTTGGCTGCCTGGGAAAAGCCGCGTATCATCTGTTGACTTGAAACGACCCGAGCGGCCTATGCGGGCATGGATTGCTGGACGGGGTATTGAGTATAATTTAAATCCGCTCTTGAGCGGGGAGAAGGTTAGTTTTTGTATATTCCTCTGTTGAGAATTTAAAGGGAGAGAGAAAATGGGTTTTCTTTTTCTTTTTTTTTTTTTTTTTTTTACTTTCCTGGTTGCGGCCCGTGGCTATCCTAACTTTTTAAACTCTTATTCCCACGTAGGTTGATGAACTATGGGATGACCACGCCGATACATTTGTATATTTATTCCCACAAAATACAAACAGAGGCCCTTCTTTCAAGGTCGACTCTTCTATCTTCGTCTCCTCTCCAACTCTCACCTTCCTGGCTCGAGGCTCCGACCCAACCCCTAAATTCAAGCGACGCACTATTCCAGAAGAGTTGCCGCAGCTCAACTTCCCCCCTACAGGTTCTCCACCAGCACACAACCAAATAGGATCTCTTGAGGATGACCGGAGCAGTTCGGCCAGCAGAGCATCTAGGGACTACTCGATTGACGAGCCTCCTCAACAGCTGCATCTTTATGTCCCTGTACCCCTAGAAAGTGACCTTTCCAACCAGAACTGCACCTTAATAGACGCAGATGTCCACATGCTCATACTGTTTCGAAATCTATTTGCATTTTTAATTGGCCAATGTTTGATTGCCACCCCGAAAAGACCCAAAGTCTTTGATATTTTTATGGGAGTTTCAGACCTCCTTTCCAAATTCGAATTTGCCAATCTGGACGGCTCAGGGTTAGGAGAGACTGCGACCTCTAGTTTTGCGGCGTACTGCGACGAACTGAGAATTTATGACGTGCGAAAGAGCCGCGAGAAAATTCTTGAAGCGATCATCCTAGGAGAGCGGATGAAGTTCTTTCCGTTATATCGGGAAGGATTCATTCATGGTGTTGGCAGACTGAAGGACGAAGACTTTAAACACCCCAAGTATCTCCTTATTTCGGACCTCTCGCGGGAGAATATCGAAAAAGGTTCTAGTGCTCTACAAAAAGAACTCAAAATAATTCATGATAAGCTAGACGACTTTGACTTCCCATCCCTCTTCGCTGGTATCGCTAACTCGACCACTCTAAACGAAGCCAAACAGGTACGGTTCAAGAACTGGAAGAGTGCCTTCTTAGCATTCAGGAAAGATGTCAAATCCTACTATGCTAAGCGTTTTGGCTCTTGGCCGCCAAAACCAGGTTCCGAAAAGAACCAATCTGACAAAAGCGGCTTGAGTCGCCTAGTTCTGATGGAGCTCTACCAAGACTTTTCGGATCTCTACGACATGCTTGTCGATAGAACTTCCTTGACTACTCGAACAGCCGATATGACGATGATGAACGAATCCGATTCTATAGGTTCTCAGGATATAACCACCCGTGCTCTTCGGCAGGTGATGAGCGAATATGACCGGAGCACCCCACCTGTGCAACCCCCGGTTCCTTTTGACCTACCCATTTTGCCAAGTATAATGTCTATCCGCAAAAAAATGGATCCCGGAAGGGCAAGCAAGGAACGGGCTAAAAGACTCGCACCCGGTGAAGCCAGCGAAATCCTATTCGGCTCATACAACCACGCCAGCATCAAACCAACAGATTTCCTCGCGAACTTCATGCACTTCGAACGTGAGCAAGCGAAAGATAAAGAGAGGACCTGCGACGACCTCTCAGACTACCGCTGCGGCCAATGGTTGTTCATGTACTCCGTCCTGCAATCATTGCCCAGGGTCGTTATCGACGCGCCCGATGTTCGCTTTTCGCAAGGGGTGGAGTACTTCCTGTCCATAGCCCCGTGGGGCGGAATGCCATGGTGCCGTGATGATTTAAAATCCGGACGAACTTGGTTCGGCGTAGCCGACGGCTCCGCCGTAGTGAGTCTACCTAATGACTCAGTCGCCAATGCCCCCGACAGCGCCTATCGCCGCAGTCACTGCTGGGAAGTAGCGATGAAGTGGGCGAATCAACAACAGATGTTGTCTCCAGTGATGCTTGATGGCGATGGAGCAGAGAAGCAACTCCAGAGCCAGTATCCGCCTTCGTCGACGGGGGGAAGCGTACCACCGCCGCCTCCGCTTTCGGTAACAGGATCCTCGTCAGACAGACAGCCCACCCCGCTCTTAACGCCTGGTAGCCAAACACCGCCACTTGTTAGCATCCCAATACCCAGGGAGCATTCGCCGGGCCTCCATCCAGGTCTGAAAGGCGGTAATCGCGCCTCCCTCTACATGGGCTTGGAAGCACTACCGCTTCCCCCGAGTGTGGTGCCGTTTGAAACCCCCTCGCGACCAAAGAGCCATAATCCCACAATGAGTTTTGATGATATTCTTAAGAGCATTCCTAATAAAAATTCGCACAAGTCCAAGAAGTGAATTATCCCCTTTTTAATCAACTCTCTTTTTTGTGCTTTAATTTTTTTTTTTTTTGGTTGGCTTCCTCTATGGTTTTTGTTTCACTTTTGCGATTTCAATATTTTGGATTAATTGCGCGCTGGCTGGACATTCGGTCGCATCTGTATTATTTACATCTAGAAGCGGATTGGCGGTGTCATTTTTCCTTTCCTTTCTTTTTCACTTTCCACATTGGGATTTTCTTGTGCGCATTCTCTCCCTTTTACTTTTCATTTTTTGCGTTCATCGTCTCGAAATTTCTCTCTTTCTCATTCCCATAGAAGTTAGTTGAACGCAACTATGCCAATATGCTTATTTTGATTTTTGGTGAACGGAAAGGAAGAATTAAAGATCGCTTTAATAGACCGCTACTCTGCATAAGCTTGGTTTTTCAGTTTCTTGTTTTTCTTTTCTTTTTTCCCCCTCATATTCATTCCCTTGCTTTTTGCGAAACCTCTTGTTTTCTTCTTTCCCTATCCCTGTTTTTCTGCTCTCGCATTGTCCACTCACCATTCTGGTGTTTGTTTTGATTTCCCCAATTTCACTCATACATCACAAATCGCATACAAGCCGGCGCTGATTTTTCAAATCGCATACAAGCCGGCGCTGATTTTTTTTTTTTTTTTTTTTTTTTTTTTCTTTTTTTTTTTCATCATTGTTTCTTCTCTATGTTTTCAAAGTTTGTTCCCTTGTTCTTTCTTTTGTTCTCTTTCTTTTTTTGGGGGGGGGAAGGAGTTCCTTATATAAACTCAACTTTTTAAGTTAGTTAATAGTTGCCAGTAATTCTAATTTTTAACTTCCTG